ATATTTAGGAGTATTATCTGCAAGTTCATGTTCATTTTACTACATAGTGATTAAAAGGATACAATATTTAGTCTTGAAGAGTAAGCAGGTCATTGACTTGACCTTGACCTACAATTTCAGATTCAACAATGGAAAAAACAGCAGCAGAAAGGAAACACACATAGAGAGGAAGGTGAGGGACATCCGCGCGCCGGTGGTCAGGTAATTCTCCTGGACATGGGAAGGGAGCACCAGATGGTGTTGGTGCAACCCTAAAAAGAACCGCAGACAGGCTGATAAGTCAAGGATGTGACATCCCAAATGCTCATACTCTGTACAGGGTCTTAGAGGAGAACAACAGTGCCATCAAGCTTTACTTCATTGAAGACGAGGCCATCGAGAAAGCCGTCCAAGGTATGCCAGCCAATTTGCCAGTAGTTCCATCCACAATGCGGATCCACCAAGTTGTTTGTGTGGCTGCAAGGCAAATTGCCTACCGTGATGTAAGCTGTATGTGCACAGTCCACAACAAGAAACTGGAATGCCAGTGTTTCAATACACAACATTTCACATTTACCCCTAAAGTTACATCAGTCGTGTCACAGAGGGAGGTTGATTGGGCAAATCCAGACATATGCGGGAAATGGTGCGTGGCCAAATATGATGACGATTTCTATCCCGGAATAATTCTAGCCACAGATGAATCCCATGTGCAGGTCAAATGCATGTGCTGTGCTGGACCAAATAGGTACTTCTGGCCACTTCTTGATGATATCCTGTGGTATCCATTTGAGGACATCTTGGAACACATTGATCCCCCTAAACCGGTGACTTCTAGGCACATGGAAATACAGAAGGAAGTGTGGGCTAGGCTCTCTCAGTAAAAATGGTGAACAAACTGTAGGCTTACCTATAGGTTATTAATGTTAAGATGTTTGCTTAATGTTCAAACATTCAAACAACACAGACATTCCTGCCATTACTCTGGATATTTCTATGAAATCAATGAAAATGTTGTAACTGTTGTTAGTTTATTAATGTGTTTTAATCTGTCTAGATTTCATCTTGATTGTTTAAACTTTAAAAGCTATGTTGACAGTAGTTTAAAATGTTAAAAAATGGCAACATGTGACCTATATAGGTTATCAATGTTAAGATGTTTGCTCAATGTTCAAACAGACTCCTGCCATTATCAGATGGATATTTTTATGAAATCAATGAAATGTTGTTACTGTTATTAGTTCATTAATGTGTTTTACTCTGTCTAGTTTTCATCTAGATTCTTTAGATTTTAAAAGCTATGTTGACAGTAGGTTTAAAAATGTTTAAAATTTTTAAAAAATGGCAACATGTTAGTGATCTCAAAAGATAAAACATATGACACGTGATGCTTTTCACTCAACCCTGTTACATGATTTTCAACCCTGTTGCGGTGCATTCATCCCTGTTACGAGATTATTTTTTTACATTTTTGTATTAAATACACAAAATATAACATCAATAGTGTTTTTATTGTGTGTATTAAATCAGGGTAAATAAGGCTATTTCAATTTTGTCAGGAATTACGCAGCATTCTTGCACATTTCTTGCGAAAATGTGGAGTTAGATTAGAAATTTCTTCATCGTAAACTGGAAAGGATGGTGCTGGTCAGTTTTTCTTGATTTTCTCTTTAATTACAATATGCCATTATTTACAAGGGACATCTAAACTGTGAGATTATGCCAGAAGCTGATCTCAAGCTTATTGGAAAAATGAATAGTTGAATAACAAAATGACTGTGACGGGGTTGAATTAAATTGGGACTTGTTTGAGAAAATAATACAGAATAATAACTTAATACTCTACATTGAGATGGGAAAAGGTATTTTCTATCAAGTACACACATTACTTTGTCACATCAAATAAAAAAAAGCTTAAGATTTTAATGTTCATTGTTTCATCCTCCTCAATCACAAAAGGCACCGAATCTGTAGAATGACCCAGGAACACCCGCACCCCTGGCCTCATATTGAAAGCATGTTTACCTTAGTAAAAGTGCGAAAGAACAGCTACATTATGCGGTGTCTTCTGTGTCTACCAAAACAAACGGACATTTCAGCATTCAAGAACTCAACATCTAACTTGAGGAAACATGTAGCGGTAAGTTTCCGAAATTCGTTTTTTTTTGCTGTGGATAGGCGAATGTTTGTCTTTTAGGTTACATATGTTTTAAACATTTTCTATATATATATATATATATATATATATATATATATATATATATATATATATATCCACATTTGATGTGATAATAAGTCTCTTTTAATGTCTTGATCTCCCTGTAGCCTCACAGATTTTTTTTTTGTCCACAGAGGATTCACCCCAACAAGCTGGCAAAGTACACAGACTTACTAGAGAACCACAGAAAGCGTAAGTCCTCCTCTTCCAGTGATACTCTTGTGAAAAATGCAAAAATCACAGCCTTTGCTGCCCCAGGGCGGGTAACACAAGCAACGCTTGACAAGCTGATGCTAAATTTTGTATGTGAGGCCAACCAACCATTTTCTGTGGTTGAGACGCCATCCTTCAAAACGTTGATAGAAACCTTGCAACCTCATACAGTAATGACAAGGAAAACGTTATGCACAAGAATACAAGAAGCTGCAAAACACAAGAAGAGCATAATCATCAAAAAGCTGAGTGCTGTGAACTATGTTGCTAACGTAGCTACTTAGGTGTCACCTGTCACTGGATAGACAACACCTCACTGGAGAGGCACTCCACATTGGCTTGTAGACCTGTCAAAGGCTCGCACACGTTTGATGTCCTTGCTGCTGCATTAGAGGAAATACATTCTGAGTACCACATCAGGGAAAAAGTGACCAGGACGACAACAGACAGTGGCTCAAACTTCCTTTCGATTATATGGTGAGGAGAAAGAGGAGGAAGCCATCAATGTACAAGAGGAGAGTGACTCCACCCTTGATGATGCAACAGAAGATCAGAGTGAGTCAGAGGTGGAGTATCAAGATGTCTGCAATTCTGGATGACAACACAGGCCTTGAGTACCAACTTCCAAGGCACCAAAAGTGTGCATGCCATCTCCTCAATCTTATATCCACAGTTGATGCCACTGCTGCAGGAGGAGCTGCAAACGAAACCTACAAGAGGCTGTCTCGGTCTGCTTTTGCAAAATGTCATGCTCTTTGGAATAAAACCAGCAGGTCAACCATGGCTCATGAAACAGTGGAACGTGAATGCAAGCTGCAGTTTCTCCGACCCAATCAGACACGCTGGAGCTCCCTGTTCCTCGCTGTAGAAAGGATTGTGCGCATTCACCGAGAGCAAGGAGAACAAGCAATTTGCAATGTCTGCACAGCATTAAAGATAAAGATGTAAGTTGACAAAATGTATATTTTGTTTTTAAAGAATAATAAAAGTAAATAAGCCTTGCTGATTAATGGGTGAATCCACTTGTCTCAAGTAACTAAGTTTTCTTTGCATGGTGGTGTGACAATTGTGGATGACTTGAATGAAATATATATATATATATATATATATTGTATTTAACATGTACAATGCATAATAAAGACATTGTACCAGAAATAGCTATAAGTAATTGTTTTATCGTTACATCTTTTATAGGTTCAATCCAGCTGAAAATTGGTTTTTGGTCGAGTATGCTGCTGTGATGAAGCCTGTTGCCATGGCCCTTAATATCCTCCAAGGGGAATCATCTGTGCATATGGGCCTCCTGCTGCCAACACTTTACCAGTTGCAGGACAAGCTGAAGAAGTTGGAGTCAACTTGCAAAATGTGTACACCTCTTGTTCACGCCCTGCAGCAAGGGATCCAGAAACGTTTTGGAGACGTCATGAAAGAGCCTGAGCTGATTGCAGCAGCAATACTCCTACCAAGATTCAGAACATCCTGGACCACAGAGGAGAACATCTTAAATGCTGGTAAATATACTTGTTTATCAATTCAAATGTGAACCAGTAGACATTGACCTATATAACTCTGTATAATGTTACTGTCATTTAGGATTATAGTGTGTCAGTGACAAACCACAGGGTGGCAATATAGTTAGTGTGACTTTTTTTTGCTGACTTTTCTTGTTAGATATTGGAACTGGAAGTAAACATAATGCCCGATCTACAACTACATCACTCTCCTCTAATGCCTTTTAGAGAACATGCATTCAGCTTAATTTGTGTTCTGGGATACTAGACCTGCAATATTGTTTTATTTGGCCATCTATCATGGACTGGTGCTTTTTCAGTTGATGTGTACTGCTGCTCTTTTCCTCTGCTCAGTGAGATGTGCAGTGTGGCCTAATCACAGATCAGAGTATTCATTTCTAGGCACACAGAAAAAGGGCTGTTGCTTGCCATGCAATACAAAGGTACTGAGTAGGCCTAATCAACACCTATTGATTATTTTACGTTGACTGCTTCCTTCTGGTGTGCAGTTTTCTGTTCAGCATGCCTGGTATGAAATGTTTGTGTGTTTCCTTCTGTTGTTCTGTCACTGTGGAGACACACACACAGTTTATGAGAGTTTATGGGCTGCCTCGTTCTAGTTCTGCCTGGTAAAAAAAGTATAAAGGTTTGGAAATGTGTGTTACTTGTGCTTATTTATTTTTTATTTATTATTATTTTATTTTTTAATACTTGAATTTACCTTAATTATTTTAATTTAAGCTATTTTGTAATTCATTAAAGATGATTATTTTGTATTTTTGTCTGTCTGATTGTTGTCTTGTGTTAAAAAATAAATCAGACGTTACTCAACAGTTACTCAGTACTTGAGTAGTTTTTTCACCAAGTACTTTTTTTACTCTTACTCAAGTAATTATTTGAATGACTACTTTTCACTTTTACTTGAGTCATATTATTCTGAAGTAACAGTACTTTTACTTGAGTACAATTTTTGGCTACTCTACCCACCTCTGGGAACATGTCACATGTCTCCAATGATGATTATGTGGTTCTCCAACAGACCGCTTCTTCCTTATGGCTTGACTCTGCTGTTGACTTCCTCACGGCTTGACTCTGCTGTCGAGGAATTTCTTGACATGCATCAGGTTGTCGCGAACCTCCTCTCTCACGATCTCGCATGCGCATGTGTTGTGTTCCTGGAGAGCATAAAATAAATACAAACATTTCAGTCAACTCAACCACAGCAAGTGCTGCGCCAACGCATCCAACGACACTACCACGGCGCTTGGATGTTCCCAGTTTCATATGTGAGTTGTGGAAGAGAAATGCATCCAATTAGTGGTGATCTAGAACTTTTGCTCAGATTAAATTAGTCTATTTTCGAGGGCATTTGATATTGGACCGACCTTGTGTTTCAAGACGGTGTTCATCTTATCGAAATATGTTTTGAGAGACGCGTTGCCTGCAGTAACCGACCCTCCATCTCCAGAGGATGCCCCAACATCACCTCCGACCTGGAGATAACATAAAATGGTGGTGAGTGCATTAGTTCTGTCTTATGAAAGATACATAAAATATTTGAATAAATAAGTAACTGTAGTGTCTAAATTAAATACCAATGCCCACGACTGTCTTATTTAATGATAACATTCAGCAGTTATTCAGCAGGCAATATTGAATATGAAAAACGAATAACGCTATAATACAATGGTGCAGGACTCTGTCTTATTAAATGAGGGCCATGTTCAATATAAATATGCTGAAATTGTGGACATTGTACACCACACTTTTCAGATTCTGTGTAGGGTTAGCAAGAACAATTGTTTCAATAGGCGTTTCACAGAGACCACATTTTGCTCACACATTTAGTCTGTTGACTCTCTTTTAATCAGGCAGTGCAATCTGAAGCATATGGCTGTTCAGTGTTTATATTGCACATAATTGAAATAAAATAGAAGTTATTAATAGAAAGACTGATAGTGTTGAATGAAGGCTAAAGTTCGACCATTTACCTCACTGCTTGTGAATTCACTGTGCACCTGTTCTTTCTATTCGGCTAATATTGTTCCGATTACGTTATTACATTTTAGTCATTTAGCAGACGCTCTTATCCAGAGCGACTTACAGTTAGTGAATATATATATATATATATATATTTTTTTTATACTGGCCCCCCGTGGGAATCGAACCCACAACCCTGGCGTTGCAAACGCCATGCTCTATCAACTGAGCTACATCCCTGCCGGCCATTCCCTCCCCTACCCTGGACGACGCTGGGCCAATTGTGCGCCGCCCATGAGTCTCCCGGTCGTGGCCGGCTGCGACAGAGCCTGGATTCGAACCAGGATCTCTAGTGGCACAGTTAGCACTGCGATGCAGTGCCTTAGACCACTGCCCCACTCAGGAGTACGATTGTGGAACCAATTTCACAGAGGGGGTTGAAACCATAGAATTTGGAATTCGAATAATTTAATAGGATCTCTATGGTAGGAACGGAATTCGTATAGGAGCTCAAAGTGAAACGTTCAAAACAGGCCCGCCCTGTCCAGTACTAAAACACACTTCATTGAAAAAAGGCTTTTGAATATAACTACATTTTGAGAAGATACATTTTACTTGTTTGAATGGCTTTCCTTTATGGATTAGTAGGCTATATAATTAATTGTACTGCCATCCGTGCATATGTCCCGAGCATGTTTAATCCAAATCTGAATGTTCACACACCGACAGACTTGCCAACAGAATGAGCACTCAGATTAATAATATTTAAAAGTAGAAAAAGTTTATTAATTTAACATTTGATGAAGATTAACATATAGGCACGATTTTCAAAGAGATAAATGAATACATTTATAAATAGGCCTACATAAATAAATAACCTTGATAAATAAATATATACATACATGTATAATATTGCAGTTTGACATCACACATTACATAATTGTACAATGGTAGGCAATCAAAATCAAGTACAGTATGTAAATCAATTCTGCACGTTCAAATTCATGTTCTGTTGGACCACAAAAGGCTATCAGAGTTGTGTTCCAGAATGAACTGTAGGGTGTACAGGAGCTCTTTTCGAACCACTTCCCAGGCGCAGTAACTGAAATTCTGTGAAAATACAAAAAACTGTTAGGGCAATATAGCGTAATATTGTCCAATGTAGAGATGTATCAAAACAATGTGTCTTTGTTTTTACCCTATAGCCTACCTTTTCTTTTAGGACTGCTGCAATGTGCCCAAAGTATGCATTCAGTCCCTCTGCCCTGATGGGATAATCACTTGTATCCACACTGCCCATCATCTGCCAGAAAGAAAGAGGCAGGCGATTAATAATAATTAAAATGCCACCATACCACAATTAAACAGTTAAGCTATCTGTGTTGGCATAGCAACTCACACATTTGCTCTCTTCAATCTGGCGGTATATAATATTCTGAAAATTCTCCAACTTCTGTTGGTCCCACTTAGTGGGCAGGTCGTCAGCTCCAAACAATGAGTCGATGTTCTTCAATGTATCATAAATAGCCTTAGCACCGCTGCTGCTCAACTGAAACGGACAACAACAATAATTTCAAATAACATAAATGGCAGTTTAAAGTTTTCTACTTTCTAATCCTAACGATTGCAAAAAACTATTTCATGCTGTAAAGAACCCTTGGATATGCGCGCTTTCCCTTACCTGTGGCGCGCCGGTTGCAAATGCGGCGGCTGGGAATGCCAGGAAGACATTGTGCTGCAGGCACTCCAGAGGAAAATGACCCCCCTGAAAGAAAGAGAAAACACAGTATTCACGTTGAGCTATTCAGTTAAACATAGTTGGATAATACACCTCAAGTCAAAAGTAATTTAAAAAATGTACCATGTCTCTCAGTAGGTTGTGGGTTGTTCGCACCAGCTGGCCTTGTAGCTGGCAAGGCATGGGCATGGAGCAAACTTGTGCGAGGCAGAGGAAGGCGCTCATCCAAGTGATAGTCTGAAGTGCCATTCTCAGGGTAGTTAGACGACCTGTAGCAGATGATCAGTGTTAGTTGAATATATTTCTGAAAATGATTCATTCATTGAAGCCTGAAGCATTGATCAAATGATAGCATATTGTTGACTCACGTGTTACCAGTATATTGCACATTTCCTCCAATTAGAATGTGGTTTGTGTTCTGATCCCATATCTGCGGATTAACTTAAATAGTGACGATTGAAAGGATGTACAAAAAGTGAAAGCGAGTCTCACTAAATTATGAGTTAAAGTGAATGAATTTGGGAGGGATTTTTAAAACTGCACAATTTTGTAGCGAACCTCCGCTCCCACTATCTCCCATGCACATGCGCTGTGTTCCTGGAGCGCATACAAGACATGCATTTTTTCACTCAACTCAACCACAGCAGGTGCTGCACCAGCGCATCCGACGACACTAAAACGGCGCTTGGAAGTTCCAAGTTTCAGATGTGAGTTGTGGCAGCGAAATTCATCCGATTTGTGGTGATCTAGAACTTTTCCTCTGATTAATTTAGCCTTTTTTCCAGTACATTTTATATTGGACCCACCGTCTGTTTCAAGATGGTGTTCAGCTTGTCGAAGTATGTTTTCATAGACGCGTTGCCTGAAGTAACCAACACTCCAGAGGATGCCCCAACACCACATCTGACCTGGAGACAAAGTAAAATGGTGGTGAGTGAATTAGTTCTGTCTTAAGACAGGTTCTGAAAATGTATCGCTTATATTAAATCACAAATTAAAGACCTATGCCAATGATTGTCTGCCCCCCAAATATAGCTTAGGCTACACCATGAGGGATCATACTTACGCATCCCTCTAATTTCTTAATTTAACTGGTAATCTGTTTTTGAACAGGTTCAGTGTTTCCTTGTTGCAGGTAACAGAAGTCAGGCTGTTAAATAATTGGGCCATATATCCCAAAGCCTCTAAAGCAACCACAGAGACATCCTCGCCCTGGATAAAATAAAACAAGGTTTTAGGCATTAGGGTGTCTCATAAATTACATTGTTAAACTTCCAATTTACCCCTTTGAAATTGCAAGAAATCATATACTATAGTTTAGGCTATCAAAATATTGCTATATGATACTGAAGTGTATCCTACCTGTGTGTTCTTGTAAACATGCTCTGGAAACATGCGCTCACAGAACTGGAAATTGTCCACCCAGAAATAAAGTCATATCAATATAAATAAGTGAACTGTATTGGGATAGTAACCTTAAATGAAACATTGTGGTACAGAGAGTGAAAGCATTGGTTAGATAAAATGTGCTATAATAAATCAATAAAAATGTAGGCCTAATAATGAGATATATTGAGCATCAAATTGTGCACACCAAATAGCGGACTGGTGCAAAAAATTGCGGACTGGTTCATAAACTGCGTCCACCAGCAAGGTTTGGATGCTGCTGTGTCTAGACAGAACAGAGTCAGGCAGATACTCCACCATTTCAATACAGCCATGTTTCCTTTGATATAATTTAAGTGTAACAGACTTTCGAAATGATTAACAACCGATTATCTTAATCGTGATTCGATATGATACCCAATTGCTGAAGTTCCTTTATTATATAATAAACCTAAGTATCGATATACGTGACGGTATAAAACACTCCTTTGGGTGAAGAAGGCTGCTTGGTTCAGGCTTTCGCTTCCCTTTATAAGCCCCACTTTTCAGTGGGTGATTCTTAATTATGCTATTGTGAAATTAATCCGATTTATTTTGGGGTCCAGCAAGTTAACAGTTTTCATACATGTCTATGCAGAGAATTGCATTTGAACAAGGCATTTCATGAGAACAGAACGCAGTTATTCAGCAGGCAAAATTGAATATGAAAAACAGAAAACAGCCTATTTCTACAATGTTGCAGGGCTCTTTCTTAGCAAATGAGGGCCATGTTCAAGATTGTGGACATTGCACACCACATTTTTCAGATTCTGTGTATGGTTAACCAGAATCATTTTGTTCACACATTTAGTCTGTTGTGACTCTTTTAATCAGGTAGTTCAATCTGAAGCATGACTGTTCAGTGTTAAAATTGCACATCATTCAAATAAAAATACATTTTATTAATAGAGTGACTGGTAGTGTTGAATGAAAGCTAAAGCCGTCCCGCCTCTAAAATCGAGAGTAGAGTGCGGTGGTATTGACTTTGCTGCCAGCATGCAGGGGAATTACTTTTCCTTTTCTCTCATGGGGTTCATTCTTATTAAATTGATTCGGTAAATTCCAAGGGGATCTTTTTACAGTTTGATAATTTCTGTTTAATAAAATAGTATATGCACTAAATTAGCCTTCATTAGGCGCTTACCATGACGTCGACGAGGATGAAGATTATGTGTGAGTTTGGCCTAATGTGAATGATGATTATGTTTTATGGGTATTTTTTAAAAACCTTGATTTAAGTAGGAAAGTCCCATTGAGATATAGAATCATAGAATGATGATGATGGTTATGGTGATGATGACGACGTTAATTGGAGGTGTAGGTTTCTGATTGTGCAGTTTTTATGTTAAGCCTTTATTGTAGGTTACCTTGTAACAATGACCTAACTGATCATGGCATTGGTTTATCAACATTGTAGGCCTATCAACAAATGAATGATTATTTTCAAGCGTGAGATGAATTTCACTTTATTTGTGCAGTCATTGAAATACAAATGGGTTAAATTGGTCAACAGGTTTATTTTGGTAGCCTACAGTCAGTCGTGTTATTAAATAAACATATTACATCTGCTCATTTGTGGTGCATAGACTCGAGTAGAATCTGTAAATTCTTCAATATCCACACGATTTCATTTCGAACAACCTCCCAAGTACAATAACTGTTGTCGTGAAACGATGAAACCCCACAGTAAATTGAAATGAGTAAATAGAAGAATTAAAAAGTGATTCAAATAAAACCATTCAATATAAGCTACTGTGTTATTTTTACCTTTTGCTTTAGAAGTTGCTTCATTTTGCTGAAGTAGCGTTTTGTAGAATGACAGTTTCTCCATGAAAACGTGTCCAATGGTAGAATTCTCATCTGCCTTTAACTGTGTGAAACAATTCAATGTAGTAAGTGGTATTGACATTTCAACTTGCAAGCAAATAATCATACTCACACATTCAGATACATTCGTTGTCTGTCTAAAAATTATATTTCTAAAGTAACCCAGGTGACTTTTGTTCCATGACAAAGGCTGAAGAGGTTTAGCAAATATCTTTCTCACTTGACCTAAAATGATATATGCAGTCAAAACCATCTCTCTCGTTTGGGAAAAAAAATGGACGTAAATCAATGTGCTATAAAATCATTCCATTGTAGGAAATTATTTGTCTACTGTAAAAGTTACAGATTTAACCTACCTGTTGATAATGGGTGTCTTCAAATAACAAATGCATGTTGAATTCGATGTTCACGTTCTCTTACAAGCACTGAACCGGAAAACGACCACCCTAGGTAAACCAAGATTGAGAAATGAGGCTACAGATTGAGAAATTAGGCTACGTTTCATGCTCGGACACAATCATCAACGGTTTTTGTCAGCCATCTCACCAAATCCTGAAGAAGTTTGATGTTGTGCTTATTTAGGATTTTGAGAGGAGCATCCCTCCATGTGTATCCAATTGTTGGATACACCGTACATAAGCAAAATGAAACACTCCATCATGTCAAATTGGTTATGTTGATGGTCGGCTACACAACAATATCTTTTAGAAAGATAGGTCTGGAAATCTGAGACAAGCATCAATATGTAGCCTATATAAACACCTCCCAAAATTCCTGACAGCCAACCGAGATGGGACAGCCGAGTAGCTGTGTGATTCACCATAAGCCTTATGATGAAACTGTAAAAAAATTAAATGATAGAAGTTAACCCGGTGTACCGAAACCTTCACTTGTACCTTATAAACATAAATGGAGATAATCTCATTGGATTATCTTCACTTGAAAAAATATACTTTACTAAACTCAAATAACATATTGTGATCCACTCTAGACAGGTTTCTTTTGGGGAGAACTTGTATTTATTGACTTTACACATTGCATTCATTAACAGTTTCATGTGCCATTGGATGATTCTTTTATTTTATTTTTACAAATACACCAATGACACGTATTAGTGACAAAATAACATGTGAAACAGGAAACAACAACAAAAACAAAATAACATTTTTTTTCTAAACAGGTGGGGCTCAAAACAGGTAGGGCTCTGAGTATTTTTGTAATACACCAAACATGCTGCCAACCATTCAGATACAGCACATATGAGTACTATACCATATCTTTTTTAAAACATTTTTAGTCATTTAGCAGACGCTCTTATCCAGAGCGACTTACAGTTAGTGAGTGCATATATTTCCATACTGGCCCCCGTGGGAAACGAACCCACAACCCTGGCGTTGCAAGCGCCATGCTCTCCAACTGAGCTACAGGGGACATACAATGTAAACACACATACACACCATTCTAGATGTTATCCCAAATAACCTCATACCATTATACAAATGGATATACAGTATATCTACAATAACTCTATTCTATCCAGGAATTCCAAGTCTTATGAAAGGACTGTGTGCTGCCACATTGGCCTATATAATACACACCTTTGTCTAATGTCATACAGGAATTGACCTCATTTATCCATTGAGACTTATCCATTGAGCTTAGTCATATATATATATATATATATATATATGGCTAAGCTAAATCAATTTGTTTTAATTTTTTGCCCACTGCCACCCCGCCTCAAACTATTATCTATTAAAAGTATTGTTTGTTTTTTGTCTCTTTTTCCATACTGTCTTTCTATCTCTTTTTCTTCTTTCTCCTCCAATCATAGTAAGACATACAGGTGTTTAATACATTGGACAGACTTTATAAATAAACATCCCACAATTGCAAGTGGGAGCTAAAAGTTCCTGGTCCCCCAGATTATCGTCTACTCCTCACCCAGATCTCCCCACCCCCTTCAGCCCACTGCCCCAGTGTGATTGACACACAAAAACAAACAAGAAAAACAGTAACCCTCACAAAGTAGAAAAACACATTTAAAAGAAATTACAGAAAGAAACAAAACAACAAGAATATACACTATATATACAAAAGTATGTGGACACCCCATCAAATTAGTGGATTCGGCTATTTCAGCCACACCCGTTGCTGACTGGTGTATAAAATCGAGCACACCGCCATGCAATCTCCATAGACAAACATTGGCAGTAGAATGGCTTTACTGAAGAGCTCAGTGACTTTCAACGTCGTACGGTCATAGGATGCCACCTTTCCAACAAGTCAGTTCGTCAGATTTCTGCCCTGCTAGAGCTGCCCCGGTCAACTGTAAGTGCTGTTATTGTGAACTGGAAACATCTAAGAGCAACAACGGCTCAGCCGCGAAGTGGTAGGCCACACAAGCTCACAGAACGGGAACGGCGAGTGCTGAAGCGCATAGTGCGTAAAAATCGTCTGTCTTTGGTTGCAACACTCACTACCAAGTTCCAAACTGCCTCTGGAAGCAACGTCAGCACAATAACTATTCGCCGAGAGCTTCATGAAATGGGTTTCCATGGCCGAGCAGCCGCACACAAGCCTAAAATCACAATGCGCAATGCCAAGCGTTGGCTGGAGTAGTGTAAAGCTAGTCGCCATTGGACTCTGGAGCAATGTAAATGCGTTCTGTGGAGTGATGAATCAAGCTTCACCATCTGGCAGTCCGACGGACTAATCTGGGTTTGGAGAACTCTACCCACCCAATGCATAGTGCCATCTGTAAAGTTTGGTGGAGGAGGAATAATCGTCTGGGGCAGTTTTTCATGGTTCGGGCTAGGCCCCTTAGTTCCAATGAAGGGAAATCTTAATGCTACAGCATTCAATGACGTTCTAGATGATTCTGTGTTTCCAACTTTGTGGCAACAGTTTGGGGAAGGTCCTTTCCTGTTTCAGCATGACAATGCCCCTGTGCACAAAGCGAGGTCCATACAGAAATGGTGTGTCGAGATCGGTGTGGAAGAACTTGACTGGCCTGAACAGAACCCTGACTTCAACCCCATCGAACACCTTTGGGATGAATTGGAACGCCGACTGTGAGCCAGGCCTAATCGCCCAACATCAATGCCCGACATCACTAATGCTCTTATGGCTGAATGGAAGCAAGTCCCCGCAGCAATGTTCCAACATCTAGTGGAAAGCCTTCCCAGAAGGGTGGAGGCTGTTATAGCAGCAAAGGGGGGAATGAGATGTTCGATTAACAGGTGTCCACATACGTTTGGTCATGTGGTGTATAAACTTAAAGTAGAATTATCATGTGACTGACGATCAGCAACAAGTTTAATCTTTATCCCCTCAAATGGTTAGATAAATCCACTCTCATTGGTTCTAAAAAAGAACAACATTTGGACAATTTATACAAAATACATTTTACTCACATTTTCAATATTCATTTATTTCACAGGTTTTTCAAGTAGACAGGTAATACAGTTCAGTTCAACACAGGTACAAAAGGGAAATACAAAATATAAATAATAATTTATAATAATAAAAAACAATAATTTATGCATTTAAATATAATAATTAGACTATTAGGATCCCACATGATTGTTTGCATGCTTTATAAACTGGTAAGGCATAGCTTCTGAGATGAGTCCGTATGATCAGTATCCAACATTAAGATTAAGATTAAGTTTCGTCTCTTTCCTGATGAGCGCCTGTGCACTGTAGTTCTGAAAAAAGGAAAATGTAAATATTAGTGGTGTGGACTTTCTGGCCAATATAATGATCATTTTGTCTTGAACAACAAAGAAAGGCCTGGTGCCATATGTAATAATAATAATAATAATAATAATAATAATAATAATAATAATAATGTATTAAACTTTTCAGAGTAGGAGTGCTTTTTAGGTCACTATAAATAAGGACAGAGGAGACCTGATACTAGATCAGCACTTCTCTAAAACGCTTGATACATATGGGCCCAGAACCAAAAAGTGTTTTAAAACTGCTCCTGTTTAGCCTAGCCTAGTTTATATTCATTTGATTACAGGTATCAAACATGTTGCCATTCGAAACCAAACTCACCATTTTTCTCAGAACCTTCCTATTCAACATCTTGAAGTAGTTTCAGTCTCCTCTCATGTTTCTTGTCAGGTGATACCTGTTGGACAAAATTAAAACATTAGCCTCGCACTGAACATAATAGCCCATATAGATTATCTCACTTGTACAGTTAGTAGGCTACACCTAAACCAGGGCTCTCCAACCATGTTCCCGAAGAGATACCGTCCTTTAGGTTTTCGCTCCAGTCCTAATCTAGCACACCTGATTAATTAGCTAGTTAATAAACTGAATCAGGTTAGTTACAACTGGGGTTGGAGCGAAAACCTACAGGAGGGTAGCTCTCTATGAACAGGGTTGGAGAACCCCGACATAAACAGGGATTCTATTTTAAATTGACTCGTTACTTACACAGGAATTAAGGTTCTCAAATTGGCGTTCGAGAATGTTGAGGAAATCGTCTAGGTTTTTCTTGTCCCATGTGACAGCCTTCATATTCCCATCAAACAGTTTTGTGATTTGGAAGATGGTCTCGTTCATGAACCTGACTTTGTCCTCAAACTACACAGGATGATATAAAACAAATATTAGAAACAGTATAGGCTTCCGTTATGGCATCAATATAACATTGGGTCAAGACCGCTATACCAAAGCATATCAGAACGTGAGAAGTTAGAATTCTAGTTTTTATTTTATTATTTATTTATTTTATTTTTAGTCATTTAGCAGACGCTCTTATCCAGAGCGACTTACAGGAGCAATTAGGGTTAAGTGCCTTGCTCAAGGGCACATCGACAGATTTTTCACCTAGTTGGCTCGGGGATTAGAACCAGCGACCTTTCGGTTACTGGCACAACGCTCTTACCCACTAAGCTACCTGCCGCCCTAGCTTTATCTCTGCGTCTGTATAATAATTTGGGGAAAGGGACAGGGGAAATCTCCTCTATAATATCTCGTCCCTGGAAAACAATCAATATAGTATGTTAAGTCACGCGTCAAAAAGTATAGCTTAAACTGCAAGGACAGTATAGGCCTAATGTAGATAGCCTCTCTTGATATCTCTGTCACTATAGCCTTAGCGCCCTTTTACTATGATATTCAAAGATAGACTACAGTCTTCTAACACAGAGGCTAAACATGAAACGTATTACTATTTTGCTTGGTTGATTGCTGTCCTTAATACATCCATTCAGTCTGCTCTTACAGCGTGCTGATAACTCACCATCTGGTCCAGCAGGGAAAGGTATTCTGCGCTCAAGTGTCCGTAGTGGTGTCGGATCCAGTCACAGCAAAGACACACGCTCTGCATACTGCAAATAATAAGACAAATACACGTTCAGATCTCTATTGTATACATTGTAAATAGTAGTCTGCTTCGCTCTTAGCTTTCCAGTTGAGTTTGAACATTTTGGCTCTGTTAAAGAGTTTTATGTGGAGTTGGGAAAGAGAAAACTGTATGGAGAATTTCCCCCGATCAACCTACCGGAGGCGGGGACATTAACGTTCCAGACTCAAGCGCAGGCAGGCAAAATAATTTCCTGCCTGCTCCGTCTTCTGGACGACCAAATCCCAGAGTTGAATGATAGTTGAACCACGAGAATATAAGTTATTATATTTAGATATAGGCTATTCGCGAGAATAGGCTATATGCGAGCTAGGCTTTTAACTGCCATTAACTTCGCGTGAACCGCAAAAAAAAAAAAAAAACGTCATAAAAAAGTCTGATAACAAAATCGTTGAAGACGAAATAAAACCCAAACTTAAGAAATGTACCACATAAGAAATACATTTAATTGGTTTCGTTGTAAGTTTGTCTGAAATATTGTTTCGCGACGTTCCTGCAAGTCCTTGCTGTTGCGCTACAAATGGAAAGTGAAAGGGAAACGTCAGCGTCACTACCCCCCCATCTTTCTACTTTTAATTTAAACAATGACGTAACCAACTTTCACCTGCTGGTGATGCAATTTTGACGAGCAACGACAACACGATTTGTTGGAATTTTCTCTTTATCGTTTTCTTTACAAAGGAAAAGTTGAAAGTAATATTTGACTATACACTGAGTGTACAAATCATTAGGAACTCCTTCATAATATTGAGTTACGCCCCATTTTGCCCTCAGAATAGCATCAATTCGTCTGGGCACGGACTCACAAGGTGTCGAAAGCGTTCCACAGGGATGCTGGCCTATGTTGACTCCAATGGGTCCCACAGTTGTGTCAAGTTGGCTGGATGTCCTTTGGGTGGTGGACCATTCTTGATACACACGGGAAACTGTTGAGCGTGAAAAACCCAGCAACGTTGCAGTTCTTGACACACTCAAACCGGTGCGCCTGGAAACTACTAGCGTTCAAAGGCACTTAGATAATGCCAAGGCAGCAGCTAATGGGGATCCATAATAAATACAAATTCAAATCTACGCTGATTAAATTGGATTTAACAGGTGACATGAATAATGGATCATAGCTTTCACCTGAACCTAGTCAGTCTATGAAAGCCTCTAATGTTTTGTACACTCAGTGTAGTTCCTTGGTATACGATATAAGGGATATTTTCCCTGTACCCAAGAAAGCGAAAGTAACTGAACTAAATGACCAGTAGCGATTTTATCATGTGGGGCAAACTAAAAAATGTATTTTTTTTTGCATGCCAGCAAAGCCACTACACAACACAACACAACACTAAACAATACATTCATAGCACTACAACGGTGACAAACGTTGCCCACAAACTGTTAAGGCCGACACAAAGCTGTCCCAACAGCAGAGCTTTCTTTTCAGCACCATGGAGTGAATCCTTACCACCACTACACCTGGCTATGAGCAGAGTCTTGTCTGGCAGCCAAATAGTTAATTCAGCCTCCTTTACTGCCTTTTTAAAAACATAGCTGACATGGCTGACTTGCTTAAACAAATGTGGTATCTACTGACAATTGAGATGTACAAACTATGGCATAAGGGAACGACGAGCGAATAAGAGGCAATCCGTTATTTTGTGTAAGACATTGATGAGAGAGCTAGGAGGGACATAGTCGATTTAACTATTTGTTCAGCACTTTTGAAATGTACAGCGACAGAATTCAGAACATGGGCCGTTCTTACAGTATTCTCCCTGTACACCAAGTCAGAACCGTAGGATAAATAACGGGGGTATATAAGCAGACAATAAAAGCTCTTACAATATTGGATGATTACATTTCTCTAAAACAGGCTATAGGCTACATGTGCACCATCAAGTCAGAACAGTAGGCTAAGTTATGAGGTGGAAAGGGACCAAATTAGGCACATGGGCTACTAACAGCTTACTACACAACATACACTTAGGACTATAGGCTTACATCATTATCAGCAGAACA